GGGAGAGATTCCAGAAGACTGGAAAAGGGCAAATATAGTGCCCATCTCTAAAAAGGGAAATAAGGACAACCTGCACTGTCTCAAGTCTATTTACTCTAGTGTGTGAACCCTGCACTGCCTCCACTCCCATCCTTTTTATAGAATAAGTTCCTGCTGAGAACACCAGAAGCCTGCTCTTAGAATCATAGAAGATTAGGGTTGGAAAAGACCTCAGGACAGTGGCGTAGCCAGGGTTGCTGCCGAGGAGGAGCGGTGGAGAAAAAAGGCGCATGTCCTTCGGCGGCATTTCGGCAGCCCTGCGCATGCGCCGAAATGCCACCGAAAGACAGAGCAGTGCATGCGCAGGGCCGCTGAAAGACGGAGTGGTGCTGGAAAAGGCGCCACTTGGGGAATTCTGGGCTCAGGGGAGCAGGCGCTCCCCCTGCTCCCCCCCTACTGCCTCAGGAGGTCATCTAGTCTAACCCCCTGCACAAAGCAGGAATTGCTCTTCAGCAATTTCTTTCCACTCAATTCCACCCGCTTCATTGGAAAGTCCTTGAAGTTACCAATCAAAAGCCAGGGGAGAAGTGGAGTAAATGTTGTTAGGGTCACATTGATACAAGAAGTTAACAATCCTGTCCTCTTGCAATTTATGTCTATTGCAAAGTTAAACAGCCTGCTAGTCCCCAGGGAACAAAAGCCAGATTCTGACCCCTTGAGCTGACCCTGTCCTTTGCAGACATTCAGGGCTTTGATGAATCACACTTCACCAATGCATGATGCAAAATGTACTTACTTGGCCCAGGCCTACTGGCACTGACCTCAGTGAGGTAACGGGGAGGCAGTGTTGTCTCATTCAGAGCGGAGGACTGACCATCAAGACTCCTGGGTTCTATCTGCGGCTCTTCCATTGACTTCCTGTGTGGCCTTGTGCAGATCATTTAGGGACAGATTTTTAAAAGTGTTTAGATGGCCAAAGATGCACAAAGGAGCCTACTGGGATTTTCAAAAGTGTCTAGTGCCTAAATCCCATTGATTTAAATTAGAGTTAAACACCCAGACCCAGATCCTCAAAGGCCCTTAGACTTGTAACTTCCACTGATATCAACAGATGTTCAGAACCTAAACAGCTTTGAGGATCTGGACCCTGGACGCTTGAAAATCCCACTTGGTGCCTAAATTCCTTTAAAAATCTGTCCTTTAACCTCTCTGTACCTCAGTTCAATCACTTGTGCAATGGGGATAACCATGTTTTCCAGCTGATAATTCCCACGCGTGGTGGTAGATTCTGATCTGAGTTGCACCCGTGTCAAAGTGAAATGTGCCCACTGAAATCAATGGTGTTAATCTGGAGTTAGGGGCAAAGAGAGCAGATTTTGACCCACTGACTTTTGTTGTGGTTTTTACCTATTCAGTCTCAGTACTGCATTGACCGCCCCAATTCAGTGGAGTGCTAAAGAACATGCCTAATTTTAATCATGCAGATAGTCTAATGGAAATTCACATGCCTAAAGGGAAGCAGGGGTTAAATGCTTTCCTGAATAATGATGGAACTACTCATTAGCTCAAAGTTAAGCAAGTGCTCAGCTGACTCATGTCTGTAATTAACATAAAAGCACAATCTCAGGTCTCCAAAATAAAAAAAAATGTCCAGAAGGTGCTGTTTGGCTAACTGAAGTGACTCAGCAGTAAAGCTGGTCAGGTAATTACAGGGCCGGCTCCAGGCACCAGGCACCCAAGCTGGTGCTTGGGGCGGCACCTGGAGGGGGGCGGCGGCGCAGCGCTCCAGCCCCCGGGGAGAGCGGGGCCACAGCCGGGCTCGCCGCCCTCCCCCCGGCGCTCTGACCGCCCTGCGCTCTGGCCGCCGGGGGGGAGAGCCGAGCCCCAGCCGGGGCTCGCTGCCCTGCCCCCGGCGCTCTGGCCGCCCTCTGGCCGCCCTCCCCCCAGGGCTCCGGCCCCCCTCCCCCCCGGCGCCCTGCCCCCGGCGCTCTGGCCGCCGGGGGGGGGAGAGCCGAGTCCCCGCCGGGGCTCTGGCTGCGGGGGGGGGAGAGCCGAGCCCCCGCTGGGGCTCGCCGCCCTCCTCCCAGGGCTCCCGCCGCCCTCCCCCCCGGCGCCCTGCCCCTGACCGCCGGGGGGAGAGCGGAGCCCCCGCCGGGGCTCGCTGCCCTCCCCCCCGGGGCTTCCCGCGGGGGGGGGGGGGCCGTTTTTTTTTTTTATTTTGTCAAAAATTGTTGGTGTCTGTTGGAAAAACCAGAAATTGAATTTCTCTGTTTAAAACCAAAAACTTGGACTTCTAGGCACTCTGGTAATACAAATAATAATAATTATTAAATACCCCTTAGTAAATCTGGCCCTTAACCCCTACTTTGCTAGCTGCCTTACTCCACAAACATTAGCATACTGCTTTAAAAATAATCCCTTCATTTTCTTTCTCATTTAAACAGGAAACGTAATACAAGTCTGTGGGCAGATCATTGCTGGAAGATACGAAACCATTGACTTTAATGTTGACTATATTGATGGGTAATTACATATATTAACGTTCTGGCTCTGTCCATGTGATTGGTTTTTTTTTTTGGCATTTCTTTCTTCGACCAGCCTCCTTGACAGCAATAAATTGCAACCAGTTGGCACGGAACTGCCGGTTTCCTCTTGTTGTGGTTTATTGCAGCTCACGAGTTGGGCTCCAGCAAACTTTGTTAATCTAATTGCAACTGGTCCATTAAGCTAGTCCATTTATTGAGCGGCAGCACAGTCAATTGTGGCTCAGTGTGAATTGTACTGTAATTGCATCTGGTTGTTGGAGGTTTTATTTTGGTTAACAGATTAAAACAAACTAATTTCAAATGTAGGAAACTACAAGTTAAAAAATTTTCTCTTCCAATTGCATTTTTAGAAATTCTATTAGCTTGGTTGGGGAGAGTAATTTTCATGGCAAATGGAAAGTTAAAGCAGAGCTCTGAAGAAACAGTGGGCCAAATCCTCAAAGGTATTTAGACTCCTAGCTTCCATTGAAATCTCTGGCAGATAGATGCCTAAATACCCTTGAGGATCTGGGCTGTGTGCCTTACTCTACACTGCCTTGAGCTTCATAGAGTCACTTGCACTTCCACAGAGGGACGACGTGATTTTCCATTGCCGTGTTGCTTACGTGGTCATTTACATCAGGGTCAGGTGGGTGTAAAATGCCACCATTCTGAATTCGCATTGGTGTAAATGGTCACACAAGATGGAGGGTAACAGAGGCCCAGCGAGTTCAAAATGGGTATAAAATGCTACCACTAGGATAAGTGACTGGAGGATTCTGAACTGGTACGTGTAGGCATGGTTGTGCAAGGCTGTGGAGAATCAGGGCCCAGAGGGTCTACAGTTACTTTAAGGTATTTGTTAATGCAGTAATTTATGTGAAGAGAAGGGTAATCAAACCTCATGCTTCAAGAATTTAACTGATCGGCCTAGGGGTCAGGAAGAAATATTCTCCCATTGCACATTTGCCATGGGTGTTTTATTCACCAGTCTCTGAAGCATCAGACATTCGCTGCAGGGGAGGCAGCATTCTGATGGGTCGCAGGTCTGATACAGCATGGTAAATTCTCCGATTAGGGAACTAAATCTTCAGACGGTATAAATCATAAGTAAGGCTGGGATTTAATCATGGGTATTTTTAGTAAAAGTCATGGACAGGTCACGGGCAAGAAACAAAAAATCACGGCCCGTGACCTGTCCATGACTTATACCATAAATACCCCTGAGGGGGTGCTGATGGGGGGGGCCCCCACGGGGGGGGGGCAGTGATTGCTCTGGCCCCTGCTATGGGGGGAGCCTCAGGGGGACCAGCAGCTGCTGTGGCCACCATCAGGGTGGGGGGAGTCCCGGGGGGCCAGCGGCAGCTCCAGCCATCCCCAGGACCATTGCTCAGGCAGTCCCCAGGGCCAGCTGCCCGGGGCCGCCTGAGCAGCTGGTTGCAGAGCTGCTCGAGCAGCGGCTAGTGTGGCTGTCCCCAGGGCCACCTGAGCAGCTAGCTCCAGGGCCAGCTGCTTGGGCAGCCCTGGGGTCAGCCACACTGGCCGCTGCAGAAGTCACAGAGGTCACAGGAAGTCATGGAATCTGTGATTTCCGCGACTTCTGTGACACAGAGCCCTAATCGTAAGCCAGTAGAGCTGCACTGATTTACACCAGCTGATTCAGAGTCAACCATCCTAGCCTCTGGATACTGATTAACATCCTGTGTTCAATATCAGTTATTGTTTCACCCATCGTCAATGGGAACTACAAGTGCTGTGGTTAATGAAATGGAAAGTTGGAATGTGTTTCTGTGTCGCTTTGGTGTGTTGGTAACTTCCACTGAAATGCTGGTTTCATTATTTACCATATAACCTCAAAACACTGGTGAGCATACTTGAGAAAACTCAAGAGTAAATAGATTCAGCCTATAGTTTTATAGGAACGCTATGCTCACCTGTAGTGAGTATGTGCAGTGACTGGAGCAGGATTTCACACGAGCTCTTGCCTCATTCACGTGGATCTTGTAAAATGCCCAGTGACCGAGGCAAGGGCTCCTTAGGATTGCAAGAGCTGTGCACGTTTCATAAGGTGTATGGGGCACAGCTTTCCAGTGATGTCAAGTCAAATTGTTCCAAAATATGGAATTTTTTTTTCACTGAAGCCAGTGGGTGTTTTGCCAGTGACTTCAGCAGGTCCAGATTTTCATCCTAGGGCTTAATGGCTTCCCCTAATGTCACATCTTTCCTGTTTGTTTCCTATCTAGCCCTGTTATCCTCGAGGCGGAAGGAGATGGATGGATCAGCCTCTGTTCTTTTGCCAACAAGCAAACGAGAAGCATGTTAGTTTGTGATCTTCCTTTTTGCTTTGGGTTGTAGCTAATTTCATATTGCTTTGAGATCTCCATATGCTTGATTGTAGAGGATGGTCTGTCCATCGGGGTTATGGTAACAAAAGGCAGGTGCTTTGTCACAATTTCGAGGGGCTCTTGGAAAGTCAGCTCATTGGGTAAACTGTTGGAGAGCCTGGGGTTCGAGATTGTTGATTTTCATAGAAATGGAGGGCTGGAAGGGAGCTTGAAGTCACCGAGTCCAGCCCTCTGCGGTGAGGCAAGACCAGGTAAACCTAGACTGTCTCTGACAGGTATTTGTCCAACCTGTTCTTCAAAACCTCCAATAACGGGTATTCCACAAGCTCCCATGGAAGCCTATTCCAGAGCTTAACTACCCTCATAGTTAGAACGTTTCCCCTCATATCTAAGCTAAATCTCCCTTGCTGCAGAATAAGCGGATTACTTCTTATTCTACCTTCAGTGGACACAGAGAGCAATAGACCACAGTCCTCTTTATAGCAGCCCATAACATATTTGAAGACTGTTATCAGCTCCCCTCTCAGTCTTCTTTTCTCAAAACTAAACATGCCCAATCTTTTTTTTAAAACTTTTATCAGGTTTTCTAAACCTTTTATCAGTTTTGCGGCTCTCCTCTGAACTCTCTCCGGTTTGTTCACATCTTTCCTAAAGCATAGCACCCAGAACTGGACACGATACTCCAGTGAGGTCTCCTCACTGCTGAGTAGAACGGGACAATTAGTTCTTGTCTTTCTTACACACTCCTGTTACTACACTCCTTTTTCACAACTGCATTGCATTGTTGACTCATTCAATTTGTGATCCACTATAACCACGAGATCCTTTTCAGCAATACAACCACCTAACCTCTTATTCTTCATTTTGTAGTTGTGCATTTGATCTTTCCTTCCTAAGTGAAGTACTTTGCCCTGGCCTTTATTGAATTTCATCTTTTTCGTTGTTTGCTTGCATCTTGTTAGATTACCAGAGTCGGGGGAGGTTCTAGGTTCCTGGTTCTCTTGCATCCTGTTAGGGAACAGCACAGTTATTAAAGCTGCTTGGAAAACTGAATTTATGTTCTGCAGGAAATTCTGCCATTTCAAAATTTTGTTTTCGCTCCAAATCAGAACAAAAAGTTAAAATTTCTCGTGGAACAGAAATTCAGAAAAAATTAGATTCAGAAACATTGGATCATGTTGATAGTGTCAAAATGTTATAATATAAAACACTGAATACAATATGTCGACTGATAAATGCAGTATATGTATAAATATATTTAAATCAATACTTTAATCTAATATCAAAGTTGAAACAGTGAGAGTCAAAACAACTCATTTTGACAATTTTCCAGTGAACACCTTGTTGAAATTGTCCCTTTTCCATAAAACATTTTGGTTTTGATGAAACTGCGTCTTCGGGTGGAAAATTGTTCCATCAAAAATTGGTCCCTTGGCTTTAATCATTGCCAACCTGAGTATAAGTGGCATTAGGGTGACCAGATGTCCCGATTTTATAGGGACAATCCCAATTTTTGGGTCTTTTTCTTATATAGGCTCCTATTACCCCCCACCCCATGTCCCGATTTTTCACACTTGCTGTCTGGTCACCCTAAGTGGCATGCTAGGAAATGTGCACTGAACAAAGAACAAGAGACTGATTCCATAGTCCTTGCTAAGTGTCAGGGACTGGGATGTGGGAGATCTGACCTAGTGGTTTGAGCTGGAGCCTGGCCTAGTAGTTAAAGCTGGGAACAGGCTTTAACCACTAGGCCAAGGGTCAGAGCTGAGTCAGGAACCAAGCAGGGGAATGGGATAGGAGCAAGGCTGGGAACAGCGCAGGCACAGGGGAGATTGAAGCTGTCTGTGTAAGCGCTGAGCAGCCAACAACCTGCCGCTGCTGCTGAGCGTCAGTCAGGGCCGGCTCCAGGCACCAGCCCAGCAAGCAGCTGCTTGGGGCGGCCAAGGGGAAGGGGCGGCACGTCGGGCTGTTCGGCGGCAATTCGGAGGTGGGTCCCTCTCGGAGGGAAGCACCTGCCACCGAATTACCGCTGAAGAAGAAAGTGGCGCGGTGGAGCCGCCGCCGGAGTGCCGCCGATCGCAATTGCGATCGCGGCTTTTTTTTTTTTTTTCGCCGCTTGGGGTGGCAAAAACCCTGGAGCTGGTCCTGGCTTCAGTGACGACCTGTGGGCCTCTTGCAGCCAGTTGGGCAGGCCTGCCAATCAGGCGATTCTGCCGCAGCCCAACTGGGCTCATTAACTGGCCTGAGGGCTGGGCAGGCAAGCCGCAGGCTCAGCTGAGGGAACTCAAGCCCATAGTTCTTGACAGCTAAGGTCCTTTTAGGCCATGGGAGTGGGCCAGCATAGCTGCCTTTGCTCTGCCCACTCCACCCCACCCCAGTGTAGGAGGTGTATTAGGAGTGTGCAGGGAGGAAGCAGAGGGTAGAACTGGAATGCATAGCCCTCCCCAGGGCGCTTTGGCTGGCAGAACAGCCCCATCCTACTAGTGGCAATTAGACCAGTGGATCTCAGGATCAGCAGAGGTGACAGAATGGCTTAGACCTTATTGCTGTTGGGATTTTAGCTGCTGATAGAGTCGCCCCCAATGCAAAGCCCCAGCATTGGAAGCAATTACACAGTATGAGGCATGTTTTACACCCCCCCTCCCTTGTGGGTTACATTGGGGCCAGCTGCACCAATACAGATTGTAGACAGGATCTCCACCAATGCAGCTCCCAGTGTAGACAAGGTCAGCTGTGCATGAGTTCATTGCAGATGAGGATCAGGCTCTTGACTCTTCTAAGTGACACAGAGGCTGGAAGTATCTTCACTCACTTTAAATACAGGTGCAAGTGACTAAGTGCAGTGTAATAGGAAAGCTGCCAGAGTGGATCTCCATGGGGGGGAAGTTTTCATGCCCCCGGGACAGTAGCTCCTGGCAGTGGCATTCCTGTTTGCATTACTTATTTAGCCAAATACAAACTATCTCAGTTCCCTTAAATCATAAATTCTTTCTCAGCTGCTGATGAAAAGGTCTTTGTTTAAAATATGGAAGTGGCGGGGCCAAACTGCTATGGGTTTAAGCGGTTTGTCAAATCATTGTTTAAACTTTTACAAACCTACCCTTGGCATCATTGATTTTTTCAAAGCAGTTTCAACATTAACAACATTCTTAGCCTGCCTGCTAGCAATCTATAACCACCCCTCTGAGAGAGAACTGCTCTGGTAATACTGCAATGTGCAGGCTCCCCTCGTCTTAGAAAGGCACACGGGGCCTGATTCTCAGTTTCTCTGTTTCTGTGGTTTGGGTGCGGGGTGGATAATCAGGGTCTGCCTCCTCCTGAGCACCCCCTTGTGGCCAGGGTGGCTTTGCAGCTTCCTGCCTCTGTTTCCCTCTTCAGGACTCCTTAATAAATTGTGCATACAGGCAATCCACCCCTCCGTAGGGGCTGGGTTTATCAAGATCAAAGTTCAGAACAAAACTCAAAGTCCCAAAATAAATTCTACAAAGTTCAACTCAATTCCCTGCTTTCAGCAGGCAACTCCCAGCCCTCCCTAGCTGGAATGTTCCCTTCTTCCCTGGAGTCCGCTTTCTCTGGCCTTCAGCCATCTTCAGCCCTTTGGCTTCCTGGCCCAAACCCTTCCCCAGTCAAGGGTCTTCTTCAGAAGTCTCCTGGTCTCTGTCACAGTTTCCCCTTTCGGTTTCCCTTTGGATCTTTAGAGAAGCCAGTGGCTGTTTATCAGGCCCCATCTAGGGGCCATTAATAAGGCATAGTTGGGCTGGGGGCTCCTTAAAGGGGCCCAGTCCACATTGTGACAGAGGACAAAGTCCACCTTTAAGCCATTGTTGCATTTCTTATACATTGGGGCCATAGAGTGTATGTCTACACTACAGTGTAAGCCCAGGGTCAGTAGAACTCGAGTTAGTGAACAGGTTTGTTAATCTAGGGCTTGAGCATCTACACTTAGTGGTAGCCCCAGGTTAGGACTTGTTGAATCCTGGGTCCCATCCCCTTATGCAGGCCCAAGTCCAACCACCCATATCCCAGACTTCCTGTTGCCCTCCCAAAACGTGGCTACTCTAGCCCTTTGTTCATGGTGCACTGTGGGAAAACTTGGCTCTCCACCAAACTTGACTTTCCAGAGAACAAAGAAAGTCAGCTCATGGGATTGTGGGATAATTTTGGTGGACTCCCAGAGCATGAGTCCAGTGGGGCTGCGTCTATACTGCACAGCAATAAGGCTTGAGTCCTGGTTCCTGGCTTGACTCAGGCTCGGACTCTCCAGCCCTGTGGTTAGCATGATTTGTGTGTAGCTGGAAGAGGGGTTAGGCTTGAGCCTGAGTTTGAACCCTGGGCTTACTTTGCAGTGTAGATATGCCCAGAAAGGTCTGCCCAGTAGCTTGTCTGCATCACAGCAACCTCAGGACTGTACCTCTTCCTTACATCCCTCCACCTACGCATCGTCTCCAGTGACCCAGTCTTGTGAGATGCTGTTTGCCCTCACGTCCCGTTTAAGCTGAGGGTCCAAGCATCCTTCCAGTATCAGGATCAAGCCCTGGAGCTGGGGACAACCTGTATTTTGTTTGGAATGGTAATGCTGTGTTTTCCTTGTGTTCCCTTTCCTTTCTAAAGGCAGCACAATTTCTCTGTCTCTTTACAGCTATCCCATTCAGATGGATCATGGAACAGGGACCTTACAGTGCCGTGTAGAAGGCAGCTATATCGGTCAGTGGAAAGAGGAGAACATGTACACCTACAATTCTGGTCTCTGCCTCGAAAGGTGTCATAATTAATGTAATACCCCCTGCGTGTACAGCCGTCCCATTGGAAACCCAGGGTCGGGAGTGAGTCCCTGGAACGTTTCTGCCCTTTCTGACTATGGTCTTATTATTGTAACCTAATGACTTATTTATTGTAAATATTTCCCTCCCTCACCCATTTTTTGACCTTCACCTTTCTTTACATGTTTCAGAGTAGCAGTGGTAGATTCAATGTTTGTAATGGCTCAGCCATTCCCAGTCTCTATTCAAGTTGTTGGTATCTAGTTTGCATATTAATTCAAGTTCAGCAGTTTCCCGTTGGAGTCTGTTTTTAAAGCTTTTCTGTTGCAAAATTGCCACCTTTAAGTCTGTTACTGAGTGACCAGAGAGGTTGAAGTGTTCTCCTACTGGTTTTTGAATGTTATGATTCCTGATGTCAGATTTGTGTCCATTTATTCTTTTGTGTAGAGACTGTCCGGTTTGGCCAAGTACATGGCAGAGGGGCATTGCTGGCACATGATGGCATATATCACATTGGTAGGCTTGAATAGAGACTGGGAATGGCTGAGCCATTACACAAATTGAATCTATTTCCCCACGTTAAGTATCCTCACACCTTCCTGTCAAACTTTCTGAAATGGGCCATCTTGATTATCACTACAAAAGTTTTTTTTCTCCTGCTGACAACAATAGCTCATATTAATTAATTAGCCTCTTAGAGTTGGTGGGGCAACTCCCACCTTTTCATGTTCTCTGTATGTATATATATCTCCTCACTATATGTTCCATTCTATGCATCTGATGGAAGCTTATGCTCAAATAAATTTGTTAGTCTCGAAGGTGCCACAAGTACTCCTTTTCTTTACATGATAACTTTCCTCCTCGTATCTAAGTGGAGGTGCACAAGAATGAGTTGTCCCTGTCTATGTACTTTTACGGCCCTTTCCCTGGAGTAGCTGAGTTTTGATGGTGTTTGTGGGCTCAGTGTGTCCATTGCTCATTGGTTCACATCACTGTGTTACTAGGGCTGGGAAGGTGCCCCTTCTACTATGCTTGTCATCTGAGTTGTAGCCTTTGATATAGGCCATTCTCAGGAGAAAATTGGAGGGACAGCTGCCTCACATGATTACCAATGTCTAAGGATTTGCCCTGGTGGAAGCCCAGAGTTATTTAGGTCTGGTGGCTAAGGCACTGAACTGGGATTCTAGAGACCTGGCTTGGCTAGGAGGCTGTGGGCAGTCACTTTAGGTGACATTTTCAAAAGTGCCTAAGTCCTGTTTTCAAAAGTGACTTAGGAGCTGAAATCCCACAGACTTTGAGTGAGACTTAAACTTCCTAAGAGCCTTATTCACGTTTGAAAACAGGACTTAGGGGCTTTTGAGAAGGTTACTCTGAAGCTTTCTGTGTGCCTTATTTCCCCGGACTCTGTTTTGTATGTTTAGATTGTAAAACGCGACAGCGACTGGCTTAACGGGGTCCTGATCTCAGTTGGGGTCTCTAGGTGCTCCCATAATAATAATGTGGCAGGCTCCTGTGTCAGCTGGAGACTGTGCAATCTGGTTTTGGTGTGACCGCTCCAATGGGTTTTTTGGGGTGTGGTTCTCAGGTTTCTGTGTTCTCATAGCATTACTAGTTGATGCACTTTGTCCTCTCGCTGTAAATCAGAACAGCTCCCCTGAAGTGAGTGGAGATACACTGGGGTAAAGTCAGTGAAGAAAGGGGAATCAGGCCCCTAGTGTTGATCCTAGTCCAGTGTGCTTTTTCTACGGACTCCCCCACGTTCCTGTATTAACTGTGTCTGTTTTCCCTTCCAACAGGTTCACAGAACATTAGCTTTTCAGTGTTTAACAAAGGAAAGTGAGTAACAGAAACGCTGCTCCGTTCATCTGCAGTTTCCTATGGTAGTACGGCTGCATTTCTGGGTCCAGAAAGAGTACCTGGATACATTTCATAGAACTTGCTTATACATACCTATTCATGGCCCTTTACTGTCTCAATGGGATGAACTGATCATCAGATCTGAGGATGGCAATGAGAAGAAAGTTCCCCCTAGAGAATATTGAAAGGATCTCGGGGTCTCCTTGCCATTGTTTAAGTGCACAGAACAGGGGTATCCATTCGATACAGATGGGCATAATCCCCTATCACCAATCTTCTACACATGCAGGGTGGCTGAGTGACTTGTGGACATCTATTTCTCTTAGATGGGCCAAAACCAGAACCTCAGTTGTGAATTTTAGGGGTGGGGAAGGAGGGAGGGGTTGGTTCTGGTCCAAATGCAATATCAGAAGGGGTGTATGGCAGCTGATGCCCGGTGAGATTTCTATGAGGGTTTTGCTTTAAACAGTAGAAGAGCCTTGTTCCCAATGGCTTGATTATCATTGTCCTTGCTCATGAATCAATTGTTACTTTGGATAAAAAAGTCAACCACAGATCTCTGCGAGCTGTTGGTAGAAATCAGCATATGCATTGTGGCAGCTTCCTTATTAACTGCTGGATTTGACTTCTGACTCTGTCACGGATTTCCTCAGTGAGCAGGTGTAACGCTGACAGACCCTGGTCATGAGCACCCGGGATCAAACCTGGGACCCCTGGAGCTTAATACATGAGCCTCTACTTCCTGAGCTAAAAGATACATCTCTCTCAGCCAAGCCTGTAGCAGATTCATCAATCTGTAGCTGGTCTAGCTGCCACTCTGTAGTGCCACACCGAGCAGGCACGGGTTACACGTGGGCTAGTCATTTAATCTCGCTGCACCCGTTTTCTCTACCTCATCATGGTGTTGAGAATTAATGCTTATGAAGGGGCCAGATTGCCCCCACAACTCCAACAGGATGTGCAGGGAGTGTTGTCCAGGGTCGAAGGCGCTTCGCACACTCCCTGCCTAGGCTAGGGACAGTCTCTGCACTTTCCTTTTCCTTCCATGTGTCTCCAAGACTGCAAGCTGCCCCAGAGGGAGTGGGGACAAGGTGCACCATGACCCACACCCCCTCACATACAAACTGTGGCCAGGGGAACATGCTTGTCTATTCAAAAGGATGATACAGTCTGTGTGTACCCCACTGGTCCAATGTGTGATAGGTCTCCCCACACCATGCCCAAGTCACTGAGGAAATGAGTCTGGCATAGGTATCAACTTTGGAATCTAGCTTTTTAGTTCAACCTGTAGAGACTCATGTGTTCAGTGCTGGAGGTAGTTGGTTCAATCCCTGATGTTGGCCAGCGTGGTTTGCTATCCATTCTGCATTTGCTAGAACTCTGGGAGGCACCCATTGGGTATGCTGACTCCATCCCTATGCCAGTGGTTAAATGCTACCATCTGGCCCGCAATACACTCAGGTTAGAGCTGGTTGGAAAACCAACATTTTTCCCGTTGAGTTTTCTGTGAGAAAAATCACCGAAAATTTTTGACTGCAAAATGTTGGGTTTTGGGAACGTTTTTGGTTTCTTTTGACTTGGAATGTCACGTTTCATTTTTTCGACACCAAAAACATTTCAATTTTCCATTTTTGGATTTTAAGACCCCCTCCCTTCCCTTCTCTCCCTTCTTTTACTTTTCTACCCTTTTCGACTGAAAGAAAAGGGAAAAGGCAAAGTATCTGAAAGTGGGGAAAAAACACCTTTTTACCATTACCCACCTGCAAAAAGTAGGAAAACTGTAAGAAAGTGTGAGACAGTAGATTTGGATTTCAACAAAACTGCATTTGATAATGGCAAAAATTTTCAGTTGAAGAATTTCAACCAGCTCTAATTTGGATGCTTGAATGAACGCTGCTCTATATGGGTGGAAAGTAGCATTTGCTATCCTAGAATAACTGTTTTCCTGTGTTTATTCTGAGATGTCCCGTTCAGCTTCCCTGGTACTATGGGGAGATCTACCCTCAGCTCAAATTCCAAGGAGTTTCACAGGCCTTTCTCTCATGTTGCAGGTCGATGGTACACAAGGATGCTTGGCTCATCAGTGCCAAACAGGAGCTTTTCTTGTATCAGACATTCTCAGGTGCTGTACATTGCTGCCTCAATGACTGCCCTGTCCTATGACAAGTCCAAAGAGGCTTATGAAGAAAATCTTTCTATTATTCTTCCCAATGTTATTGTGCCTTCGATCCTTGTGTGCATTTCCCTTCGGATTCAGTGGGAGTTGCTCTCGTGTAGACAGAGAGCACAAAAAGGACCTCAGGATGAGATACAAAATCTAGCCCTCTATCTTTCTATGAGCTAAGGTTGGGGGGTGCCCAGATTTCCTGTCTCTTCCTGCTTTCATTGCATGCTGAACTGAACGCCCCACAAGACGGGCCTTATCACTCAGGGTATGTCTACACTGCAGTAAAACACCCATGGGTGGCCTGATTCAGCTGGCTCAGGCTCGCAGGGCTCAGGCTGCAGGGCTGTAAAATTGCAGTCTAGACATTGGGGCTCGGGCTTAACCCTGGGCTCTGAGACCCTCTCCCTTTGTGGGCTCCAGCCCGAGCCCGAACTGCTATTTTTAGTGTGCTAGCACAAGCAGAGCTAGCACATCTCTCTGTCTGCTCTGGGAAGCCCCCTCATGTAGAGGTACCCTTTGTCTCCAGCTTTGTGGGTGGCTCTGAAATCTCTAAAGGGTATTGAGCAGGAGAACCCTAACAGGAGAACCAGCAGGTCTGGAGATGGGGTGATGATCAAGCAACCCCATTATTTCTCCTGCCAGACCTACACGAGGTGCCTGACCCTGCTCGGCCCCCTCAAATCCTACCGAAGTTGGTGGGAGTTGAGGTCTTCGACATGCAGGGGGCTTTGGATAGGATGAATCAGCTGAAAATTACTTCCTGACCATCCCCTAGCTGATTGTATTGTATCTCTTGAGTTTCAGTGTGAGAGTCAAGCATTCTGGGCAAAGATATATCACAGACTACTGTAGTATTGTTTTGTACTGAGTAAAGCATTGTATTGTAAAACACATGGGCATGCAGTTTCCAGCTCTCTAGACAATAGAAAATTAAATCCTCAGTAGCTGCTGTCATGGCTAAGTAATGTCAATGATCTTCAAAAAGAATCTGGGTCTAAAACTCAAAGTACAACCACAGATCTAAGTTTCATGGACCATAAAGCACTTGGCTTTGATTGCTATCATGGATAGGACAAGGCTAGAAAAGACCATTTGGCTCATCCAGTCTGAACAGGTTTCAGGGCTGCCTGCTATATCTTTCCCACTAAGGCCTGATCTCACCATTGATTGCAACTACTGTAACTAATGGACTGGTGATTTGTGATGTGCACATGTATAAAGTACTTGGTTTAAAGGATTTAGAGGGACCCCCTTGATGGCTGAAAGATTAATATGGCCCTTAAATGGATGGATTAGAAAAAATTTAGACTTGGGAAAGCTAAGGTCATCTCTCCACAAAAGTGTGAGTCAGTGTTTAGAACTGCAGTTGCCCCATCTAACTACAGTACCTGTGTGTGCATGAGAGATGAGGAATGCTAAACAGCCACGCTGACATCTAGTGGAAAAATAACCATATTGTCCATGCAAACGGAGAGTAGAGGTCAAATCTGACCATTCACAACTTCCATTTATATCCCTGGCAATTGCCAGGGGCTCAGCATCTTTCAGGATTTGGCCCTAAACGCTAAGGATTAACAGCATCATATTCAACTGTTTGAAAGTTCAATTAGAGAGCCAAGGTGGATGAGGCACTATCTCTTATTGGACCAGCTTCAGATGGTGAAAGAGATAAGCTTTCAAACTGAATCAGAACATTTCTTCAGGTCTGGGCTCACCCACCTTGCCTCTCTCTCATATCCTGGGACCAACACGGCTACAACAACACTGCTGACAGAAAGTTCACAACAGTCAAATCTGTGGGTTAAATTCAGAGGCCAGCCTGACAGTCTAAAACAATGGTTCTCAACCAGGAGTACGTGTAGCCCTGGGGGTATGCAGAGGTCTTCCAGGGGTACATTGTCATCTAGATATTTTCCTAGTTTTACAACAGGCTACATAAAAAGCTCTAGCAAAGTCAGTACAATGTAAAATTTCATACAGACAAAATGAGAAAGTAATAATCTGTCAGTAACAGTGGGCTGTGACACTTTTGTATTTTTATGTCTGATTTTGTAAGCAAGTAGTTTAAGTGAGGTGAAACTTGGGGGTGTGCAAGACAAATCAGACTCCTGAAAGGGGTACAGTAGTGTGGAAAGGTTGAGAACCACTGGTCAAAAATAGTTTAATTTCATCTGCTTCTGGCCTCCTCAGGATGTGAATTATACCAGCTTGTAAGAGTTATCATATCCCTCCTTAAATTGTCCTTTAGCTGAGCTATACCTGTAGGATCAAATTAATCCTTGCTGTAATTCCACTGGTTTCCTGGATGAATTCGGGCTAGGGATGACTTTGGGCCAGTTAGTTTCTCAGAGCCTGCTCCCCCTGAGGTCAGTGCAAGTGTTACTTTTAGTTTTAATGGAAGCAGGAGTGGGATGGACCTTTCCTAATGCATGTTAGCTAGGTCCATTCTCCAAGTCTCCTTTTCCTTCCTCTACAGAGATAGCATCTGTGTTTCCAGTCTCGGGAAGCCTAGGAGGAGGAAGTGACCTCACGATCACAGGAGACTTCTTTGACCAGCCCGTGCAGGTCACAGTTGCAGGTAACAATGTAGAAATCAGTTTTGGATACTACAGTGATGGAATGAAGACCACAGACCAAATTCATAGAATCATAGAAGATTAGGGTTGGAAGAGACCTCAGGAGGTCATCTAGTCCAACCCCCTGCTCAAAGCAGGACCAACACCAACTAAATCGACCAGCTAAATTCTGCCTTCGGTTACACCCGTGCCACCATATTGAATGCCCAGTTGGACATGCGTTCAGAGGAGCCAGCTCCCTTAAGGTCTGATTCTCTAATAGTACTTGCTCCAGCAACTCCTACTGAAGTTGACTCAAAGTCGGTGGGACTACACGTACAGGTAAGTACCGTGGTAGTGGACATAAGAACCATGGTACTTGCTGTATGAGAGGCCCTTACTGCTGTGAATTCAAATGAATAATTGGCTACAGATATACACTCTCTGTTTGGTGTGATGTTGCCCTTGTTTGAAGGTGATGCAGTGCAGCTCTGCTAATCTCTTTCAGAATCAAAGGGGGCTCATCCCTTAAACAGTTTAGGCCTGGATTTATGTTCTTCAGTCTCATTCTGAATATACCTACTTCTCCTTTTCCCACTGTCAGGTGTTCCCTGTGAAATCAAGCACTGTTCTCCCCGGAAGATTAGCTGCACTACTGGACCCATTGATGAAACCAGAAGACTTGTTGCACCCCAAGCAGGTACAGTATTTCTAAGAGCAAAGGCCCTGCTTGGCAAACTGCTGTGCTGCCATTTGGAAATGGGGTAGAGACTTCATTCTGTGTTTGGTGGTGGGATGGATAAAAATGGGGTTATCCAAAACCTACTGATGTCACATCACATGGGTTTTCAGTAGCAGGGTAGCCTCTCCTGGTTTTGCTGACCAAACTTCCCAGTTTGCTAGGGATTTCTGCGTAACATCTGAACCTAGGAACTCTGGACTAACCCGATGATACTCCTCAGTGTTGCCCCTGATACCCATGAGTTTGCCCCTCCTGACAAGTCTCCTTTATTTCCAGTCTATTTTCCAGGGGTCTTTTGTTTTCTGATCCCTTTTGGAGTCCCTGAGAATTCTAATTATTTTTCCTTTTGCTTCAATGTACTGACCATCGCACCTTGGCTGGGGAGTGCTGGAGGCACTATACTTTGAAGACCTTTGGTACTTTTTTTTTATTTGCTGGAGGGGACTCTATAGATCAAGGCGTCGTCCCTCCAGTGTTCCTAGCCTGGAACTAACGTTGATCCCATTAATAGGTCCCAAAACAGCTCTTGTCAGAGATTATTATCCAGCAACCCATAGACTGTGGCCTGCGGCTTTTTCATTGTTTTGCTATTAATTCTCTCATGTGCTGTGGACTTTCCATTAGCCAGGTTGACTAGATTCTTGATATTTTTTTTTAACTTCCCAGGAAACAGAGGGCTTCTCTTTGAAGTCTGGGATGATGCAGCAGGCATTGATCTAACTGAAACAGCCCCTGGATATAGATGGCAGATTGTTCCTAATGCCAGCTCTCCAGAAAGATTTCTCTCTCAGGCACAGCAGTCATTCAGGTATTTCAGTGGTCTCAAAAGGAGATGAAAACTTGGTATGCACCTTTAGCAGCGGAAGAAGTAGCAATAGCACATACCAGTCCTTTTTAACAAGCTTTACTGCACAGCTCTGAGGATTCCAATCAAATCTTTGCTCAATACTTGAGTTTTTAGGTCCCTTTGAAATTCAAAAAATGCAGTGAAATTCAAAAAATATCCCATATTTTTCATCTTCACTGAATTGCCCTGCTTGGAGAACCCGGGACAGAGTGGTGTAGGAGGAGTTTCTGACTTCCAGGGGCATGATCCTGGGCCACCAGCTGTCTCGTATTTCTGCACTTCTTGGTTTTGCCCAGGACTAGAGATAGAAGTGATGAAATACCTCAAAGGAGAGTGCTCTTGAGATAGAACCAGCTCAGCCAGAAGCAGAAAGTATTGCATCTGGAGAGGAGCTCTGTGTGCCAAAAGGTTGGAATAAGCATGTTGGGCCAGATCCTCATCTGGTGGGAAGCAGCATAGCTCCAGGTTAATGGAGCAATACCAATTTAGTCCGGCAGAGGAGCTGACCCTTAGAATTTTGGGGTGCATATGATCTGACCCTTTTGAGGTTCATCCATTGAGAACTGTGTTTTGTTTTGCAGAAATACTCACAAACATTTTCACCTTTCTGACATTTTCACGTGCCTCTCCCTTGAACTTGTGTAGGTTTCCAACATGAACGCTTTTTCCTACTCAGCTATGGGGATGATTCTGCTTTTAAAAAAAAAACAACAGTCTATTTTCACTTTTTTTCTTGGAAATATTTGTGCAATGTCATAATTTTTTCCCCTGTGAAAACAGGTCAGATTTTGAGTCCCTAAAAACTGGTAAAAGCTCTTGAATTTGAGTACCTTTGCATGTTGTTACAAATATTTCCCCCTTCCTGTTAATAAATGGGAGAAACCAGCTTTTTGTCCGGGATTTCGCACTGCTTTTATCTGACATGGATATTCTTCTGCTGCCTAGCTCACGACTACGTGGATTCTTTGTGGCACCACAGACAAATAATTACACCTTCTGGATTCAGGCAGATGGCAGGGCTTCCTTGCACCTAAGCCTGTCAGAAGACCCAGGAAAAAAGGTATTTCATTAGGGCAGCAAAAATAGGAAGTGCAGGATATGGAAGAGTTGCATTTACAGTCAGGGGCGGCTCTAGGTTTTTTGCCGCCCCAAGCACGGCAGTCAAGTCGGATTGCTTGGGCCTGATTCTTCAGCTGTTGTGTTGATTTTTTCAATGGCGTTGTCCTAGCGTGGTGACACTACACAGATCAGCAACAGTGCTGTGTAAGCAGGCTCTGCAACCCCGAGTGGTGGGGGAGATGAGCAAAGAGGAGAAGCTGGAATTTCCTGTGCCGGTTGGCTTGAGAGGTGGCAGGAAATCCCACTCCTTCTTCCTGGTGCCCACCCCCCTCTGATTTGGAGGATTGGATTGCGATTTGAGAAGGGTTATTGGAGAGCGCATGTGCTGCTGTAGGGACCGGGCAGGCCAAGAGGCTGAGGTCCAGGAGGCGGATGGATGGGCCTAGGAGTCAGCCTGCATGTGTGGCTAGTATAAGTGTTCACAGCACATGAAAATCAGCCAGAGCCCAAAAGGATTGGAGACTGCGGGACTGATTCTGGGGGGCACTGGGATAGTTTGTTTGCTGATAAAGGGGACTGTTGCTGATTTGTTTGTCATTGATAGCAGTGCTGGATTGACTCCTGGGAGAATTTCTGCCTTCCCAAGGCAAGGGGTAGGAGTTTGGAGCTAACTCCCTGCAAGGGGTGCCACCATCACATACCCCAGTGTAATGGAGCAGGGACTCAGGCCCCTTGATTGTCCAGCTTTCCAAATGCTCTCTGCTTGCTGTAGGTTTTCTCTCCCTCTGGCGGAAAATGGGATGCACGTTGAAAGGTGTTGTCATGAGGATGCGTGGTACATGCTCCCCTTGTTATAACTTCAGCTGCAACGTGGGGTCCTTGTTCCATGCCAGAGAATGGTGGTTCAGTGATTACTTAGAATGTGTCTGATAGGAGGTGGATGGATTGTTTGGTTGGCGTGTAAAAACGCAGTCACAGTTGGCACCTTTGTTGGCGTCAATCTCGAGAGGCTGAGGACTGAATGGGCCTTAGAGACTCAATTATCCTTTCCTCCCCAGAAGCAAGTCTCCTGGCTCAAAACTGAGGCCCATTGGAAGGGAATGTCAAGGGAAGAGCAGACTCCAGTCTCCAAGGGTTCTTTGTCTGGTCCCCAGTTACCTTTGCCTTGGAGGGGAAAAGTCTCCCTCTGCTACCCCTGAAGATCTCACCTACCATAAAAGAATGAGTATCAGGTTACCAGGGAGGAGGTTCCTAGGCAAATGAGATGAGCATGCTCTGTGAGAACTAGCTGTTTCCAGCACTCTAAGCATATTCAGTCAGAGCTTGGTGCATGTGCCGTTAATGACAGTCATGTGCCTTCTTTACTGACTAACCTGCCTCCAGAGGGAACTATTAACCATTACATCATTCAAGCTCACCGATTACATAAAACAAAAAAGACATTAAAAGAACATTCAAACTGCAAAGTCAAACATCAAAAATACAGAAATGCTAGAATGAAGGTTGCCTGTGCAACTTAAATTTGACCCCCTTGTGTGCAAATGCATGATGATACAGTCTTTCATGACATGATCATATACTGTTTTTTCCCACAGGAATCCTGCCTCATTCAGTTCCCACTGAATGAGGCGCTATTTGATATTTCTTTTTATCCTCATCATTCAGTGCGTGGCCCATGCCATATTTACTGCACTCCATCCAAACCCTGCACTGAATACGGAATTATTAACTTCCTTAGGGGCTTTTCTATGACGCTACCATAGTATTTTAGTTCTTCATGCACATTAATGCATTTATTTCTGTAACACCCTTGTGAGGTGAGGGTATTATTAGCCCTGTTTTATACATGGGGAACTGAGGGTCAGAGAAGAAAACGCAAAGTGTCTAATTTGGGGGCTCAGTTTAAGAAGCCTGGTGCCTGATTTTTATTTTTTTTAAGCGGACTCAGTGTTTTATAGTACTTCATTTGTTGAGAGCACAGCTGCTATTGACCTCAGTAGCAGCTGGGAGTGCTCAGCACTTCTGCAGATCAGACCTCCGGTATCTCAAGTTGGGCAACCAGAAAAGGCAGATCCCACTTGTTCCACAAGTGGTCACTTGTGGAACATTTTGGCTTAAGTGACTTGCCCAGCTTTACACAGGAGCTCTATGGCACAGGCAGGGATAGACTCCAGTTCTCCAGGACAGCATTCAGCTTAACTCTGAGACCATCCTTCTCTTCCTCCAGTTCCCTGCCTCATTCGCTTTCCAACTTCTGCAACAAGTGAGGCAGGGGTCCTATAGACAGCAGCCATCTTCACTATGCAGCCTTGATTCATCCCAGAGCACAGTCCATCCTGTGCACTGAACGAGACAGAAAAATTAGAATGTAACCGTGTAATTAAATTACTGAGCCAGTTTAACTGAAAGTTTAAAAAAAAGAAAATCCACCCTGAGACTGACACCCAGCATGAAAAATTTCAGCTTGAATGGTTTAAGTGAAAATTGGGACTTAAAATGGCAGCCTTACCTACAGGTAGTGTTACTTGCGTAGCCTTTAATACCCCGGGTGGGGAAAGGGAATTAGCTTAGTGGTTTTGTTCCCGCTCATGATTTTAAGGTGTGGTGCTCTTTTTGGTGTCTTTTTCCTGTTGTCACCTTGAAAGGGTTCCCTCTAACAAACAGCTTCTCTGAGGTGGCCTCCGTGGTTACGTCAGATTCCACGGAATTGAGGGAAAAGACTCCATTTCAAATCCAATGAATGAAAGATGATTACTCATGGGCCACTGTCATTTCTCAACAGGAGTGTAAGGTGAGGACTCAGCAGGGCCTCTATCCAATAAAATATAGTACTATTAACCTTCAACTCAGCTTACAAGTGGAAGCTAACTGTTCCTCACAACACCCATCTGAGATAGGTAGATCACACAACTTCCATTTTACAGATGAGGAACCTAAGTGACTTATCCAAGGCCAGTTGTTATTGTGAGTTGTTAATAGGGCTGGGGTGAGATATGAGAAGTCTCTGCCTCCTGGGACCCAGCTCAGACCCCTTGATCACAGCACTCTGTACTAGACAGGATTTTCCCTTACAAAAAGGAAGAAATGCTGCAGACATCTGCTCATAGCTGTGAATGTGGTCTGCTTTCTCTGTCATTTAAAGGTACAGTCTCTCCAGCTAAAGAGGTCAGGTTCATGTGTTATTTTGGAGCCAGACACTGCTGCGTAATTATCTTGTTGCTTTTGTTGGTCTGAATTCAGGTGAAAGTTGCCTTTATTCCTGCTGGTGCTTCTGAATGGTCTGAGCACTGGGAGAAGAACTGGAGCGAGAGTTGGCAGCCAAAATCCCAGAAATTTGAGCTGATGCGTGGCTCAAAGTACTACCTGGAAGCGCTGCATCATGGGAAGGCACCAAGCAGTGGGATGCGAGTTGGGGTTCAGCTGCACAACACCTGGCTAAACCCTGATGTGGTGAATACCTATCGCAGAGAGAGGCACGAAATCCGGGCCAGTGCCCACCGGCTTCCGGAGATACAGGTCAGGGCCACGTCTGTGATCATAAGAACATAAGAACGGCCATACTGGGTCAGACCAAAGGTCCAACCAGCCCAGTATCCTGTCTGCTGACAGTGGCCAATGCCAGGTGCCCTAGAGGGCGTGAACCTAACAGGTAATGATCAAGTGATCTCTCTCCTGCCATCCATCTCCACCCTCTGACAAACAGAGGCTAGGGACACCATTCCTTACCCATCCTGACTAATAGCCATTAATGGACTTAACCTCCATGAATTTATCTAGTTCTCTTTTAAAACCTGTTACAGTCCTAGCCTTCACAACCTCCTCAGGCAAGGAGTTCCACAGGTTGACTGTGCGCTGTGTGAAGAACTTCCTTTTATTTGTTTTAAACCTGCTGCCCATTAATTTCATTTGGTGGCCCCTAGTTCTTATATTATGGGAACAAGTAAATAACTTTTCCTTATTCACTTTCTCCACACCATGATTTTATAGACCTCTATCACATCTCCCCTTATTCTCCTCTTTTCCAAGATGTCTTTAATCTCTCCTCATATGGAACCTATTCCAAAACCCTAATCATTTTAGTTGCCCTTCTCTGAACCTTTTCTAATGCCAGTATATCTTTTTTGAGATGAGGAGACCACATCTGTACGCAGTATTCAAGATGTGGGCATACCATGGATTTATATAACGGCAATAAGACATTCTCCGTCTTATTCTCTATCCCTTTTTTAATGATTCCTAACATCCTGTTCGCTTTTTTGACTGCCGCTGCACACTGCATGGACGTCTTCAGAGAACTATCCACAATGACTCCAATATCTCTTTCCTGATTAGTTGTAGCTAAATTATCCCCCATCATATTGTATGTATATTTGGGGTTATTTTTCCCAATGTGCATTACTTTACATTTATCCACATTAAATTTCATTTGCCATTTTGTTGCCCAATCACTTAGTTTTGTGAGATCTTTTTGAAGTTCTTCACAGTCTGCTTTGGTCTTAACTATGCCTTGATCCTGTGCCTTGAATGCTTCATGGCACTATTTACTCCACATATTTTGCAGCAAACCCTTATTGTAGAGGTCTTGTCTTCACTAGCGAAGAAAAATGGTGTGTTCTTACCACGTGTTAGTTAAGGCAAGTTGGGGGAGGGATAGCTCAGTGGTTTGAGCATTGATCTGCTAAACCCAGGGTTGTGAGTTCAATCCTTGAGGGGGCCATTTAGGGATGGGATGGGATGGGATGGGATGGGGGGGGGGTGTCTGTCTGGGGATTGTCCTGCTTTGAGCAGGGGGTTGGACTAGATGACCTCCTGAGGTCCCTTCCAACCCTGATATTCTATGATTCTAAGTTAACAGACATGGGGTAAAATCCTAGAGAAGACAAGGCAATTTGTAGTTTTAACATGTTAGCAGATTAGTCTTACCTTGACCTGCTAGCAGGTGTTAAAACTAGAATGTCATTGTATTAGCTAACACAAGGCAGGACCACGTCTCTTTTCCTAGCAAACATGGATCTGAAGTGTGTCACCTTGGGAACTGAACCAACCGATATTCATAACCAGCTAATAAAAAGAAATTTATAATAGGAGAAAGAGTTGCTCAGTAACTAGAGGAATTCTTATTCTAGTGGCTAAAGCACAAGACTGGGCATTGGGAGCCTGAGGTTCTGGTCCTAGGTCTGCCACTGGTTTGCATGTGACACTGGGCAGGTCACTTAACCTCTCTGCCCCAATAATCTAAGAACCAAGACTTTCAGTGTGAATTGCAACAGATCACATAGAGCGATGGGTGGTTAAAGTGACACCACTTGTCTTGCAGAGACCAGAAGGGCAGAATACTGCTGATGTAAAGATCCTCTTAACTAACAGATCATCTGATACTTTTTGAGTTGTATGTAGCTCACGTCGTTTGTTACTGTTTTTCCTGCCTGTCAGATGCTAACTTTATCCGGCACAGGATGGTTCCGTATTTCCTGGGACAATGTATCCAGCAACATGATGGCAACAAATGCTACAGCTGATCAGGTCTGTATAATTAAACCCAGAGGGCCAGAACCTCACCTGGTATAAAACGTTGTAGCTCCAATGAAATCAATGGAGGCGTGATGATTTACACAAGCTGAGGATTTGGCCTGGCGACTGAGACCTCTTGCTGTAATCCCAGTGACATTTACAGTTATTGGGAGTGCTTTTCAAAAGGATATTGGTGGACCGACCCGTAGTTAGAGTCTCTGAAATCCAGCAACGTCTGATCAGGTCCCCCGTACATTCAAAATGAAACACAAGCAGTGCGCAGAGACATGTTAATCAGCAGAGGGACTTGGAAGCCTGAGAATAGGTTCTTTGCCACCCAGGAACATACACCAAGAGGGACCTCACATCCCTAGGACACGGGTTTGGAACTGGGTTCTTCAAAGCCATTGATTTCTGCTGTGCTCATAGATTGGAGACAAGGTAGGTGAGCAGGACCGGCTCCAGGCACCAGCCCACCAAGCTGGTGCTTGGGGCGGCACCTGGAGGGGGGCGGCGCGGCGCTCCGGCCCCCGGGGAGAGCGGGGCCACGGCCAGGCTCGCCGCCCTCCCCCCGGCGCTCTGGCCGCCCTCCCCCCCGGCGCCCTCCCCCCGGC